TGCTCAGTGTTACCAGATGCTTTCAGAAAAGATCTTCCTCTTCCTGTTGTCTATGAGGTGTAATTTTTCACCTGTCAACACTTAATATAGAGTTAGGTGACAGGCCTAGATCATTTTATAGCTGTCATTATGGCCCAGTGTTCCTCTAGAGTGGAGGAGAATGATAAATACTTCCAATGTTTAATACACAGGCCTGGTGACCAGTAAGTAGCAGTGTCTATTACCTGTTATTGAGTGGAGTGATTGTGACAGTTATGTCACTCTCATACAGTGCTTGGTCTGGTAGTTATATTTGTACAGTGTTTTATATTGGTACAGTGGTTGTAATCCATCACTCTCACTCCCAGTCTTTTTTTTTCCTCGCCAATTTTTTTTCTTGGTTGTTGCTTACCAAATTCATATATTTTGGTATATGGTACTTTGGACTTGAGTCCTGGAAATGGAGAGTACAATGCCTGCACTTTAACCCTTAAACTGTCCAAACAGATCTATGTTCACATGCGTAGTGCTCCAAAAGTAGATCTACGTTTTTTACATATTTTCAAATATGTATAAAAAAAACATGTAGATCAAAGTTTTTTTACACATTTTCAAATGTAAACAAACAAAAAGAAGATCTACATTTTTTTACATACTTTCAAATGTTGAAAAAATGTAGATCTATGTTTGGACAGTTTAAGGGTTAAGGAAGGGTTTAGGATATTGGCAGTTTGGAGGGACGTGAAGAGTGATAGTGAAAGTTTTGAATGATGATGAAAATCTTTTTTCTTTTTGGAGTTTTCTTTCATTTTGGGTTACCCTGCCTCACTGGGAAACAGCCGATGTGTTAAAAAAAAAAAAAAGGTAGTTTGGTGTAGGTATTGTTACTTCCTATCTGTTAAGTACAAAGTGGTCAAGAAATGTGGATTTGTATACAGTATTACAATTTATTTTACATTTGTTCTGAGTTTGATGTATAATATGGAGAAAACTTTCCCCAAAAAAGTGAACCCCTGGGCATCTTAATGAGTCAGTAATTGAGATATTGCTGCAACCATTATATTTCTCTCTCTTGCGGTAATTGTAATAAAAATTAATTATAAAGTTTTGAAGATGTAATAATTTTGTCAGGTGAGTGTTGACCATTCACCCTCATCTTCACATTACTCTACATTAAGCATTTTAATTGAAAGTACAGTGGACCCCCGGATTATGTCATCATCGGAATTTGTAATAATTGGAATAAGTAATGTTTTCTCGTCAAAATATTGGCTCGGTGATCGTCATTGAACTTGGTATTAGTCATTCGTTCCGAACGCGTCCGCACAGCCCGACGCACCATTTACAGCCAGCGTTCTATTGGTTATCAGCCAGCGAGGACGATCCCACACGTTTGTATGATATATTTTGTATTATTCCATTCTCTCTAGTGCTTGCAACTGCTAAATAAGCCACCATGGGCCCAAAGAAAGCTTCTAGTGCCGGCCCTTTGGTAAAGAGGGTGAGAAGCACTATAGAATTCAAGAAAGACATGAAAGTGAAGTATGTATTGCAGAGCTGGTCAGGTTGTATAACAAACCCCATACAACCATCGCTTTTATCGTGGCCAAGAGAAAGGCAATCAAGGAAGCTGTTGTTGCGAAAGGTGCAAACATGCTTACAAAACAGAGATCGCAAATACTGGAAGATGTAGAGACTTCGTTGTTGGTGTGGGTCAATGAGAAACAATTATCAGGAGATAGTGTTATGCAGTCAATTTGTGAAAAGGCAAGGCAGTTTCATGAAGATCTTGTAAAGAAAATGCCTGGAGCTAGTGCTGATATTGTTGAATTTAAGACCAGCAAAGGCTGGTTTGAGAGATTTAACCCTTTCAGGGTCCAGAGGTCAAATTTCAGTGTGCATCAGTGTCCAAGAATTTTCAAAAAAATAATTTTGTTATTTTTTCTTTTGAAATGGTAGAGAATCCTTTTCTGAAAGTAATAAAACAAAAAGTACGAAATTTGGTGGAAAACTGACGAAATTATGCTCTCGCGAATTTTGATGTGTCAGCGATATTTACGCATCAGCGCCCACTTTGACTCTCATTTTAGGCCGATTACATTATTCCAGTCGACCAAATTCTTAGTTATTTCAGTAGTTTTACTTCTATTCTATCGATTGAGCACAAGAAATTGCCAAATAAACTGTTTCAACTACAAAATAATGTGATTCGAAATTGGTAATTTGGCCAATTTAGTGCAAAGTTCAAAATATTCCAATTTCAAAATAGGGTCCAGAATAAACAATGCAGACATTCCTGGCACTAAACTAACATTTTCTCTGTTCATTAGTTACATTTTTCAGGCTTTACAAATGAATTCCATTTTGATTTTTTATTCACATAATGAATTTTTATTCAAACCAAAAAGTAGAAGATTTACTATTATGCAATATTGTAATAATTGTATAAATAATATCAGCACATTTGTGAATGTATATTAGACCCACCAGCTGGCGTTTATTAGACGTGTGAGGTCATTTGTTTACTCTTGAACATCGACAAAAATTTAACATTTTTACTATTTTGAGCTCAATTTCAAGCCATTTCCAATACTAAAACCAATCAAAATCATCTATATTTCTGTAATATATCTTCCATTCTCTCAAATGAGACCAAGAAATCGCAAATACAACCGTTAAAAACATACAAAAAAACACTGCAAAGTCTGTTTTAATTGAAAATTGTCTAAGTTTTTTTTTCTCTCATTTTGCACTGTGTGGTGCAGGATTTATGTGGTGCACACATACCACATAGATGTATTCTCTCATATCTAGGCCCAAATATACTTCTCACAACTTATCAGAGGGAGCTGAGCTCATGGTGTAGATCTACGGTTTGGACCCTCAATTCTTAACCCTGAAAGGGTTAAGAATCGTAGTGGCATACACAGTGCGATAAGGCATGGTGAGGCTGCCAGTTCTGACAAAAAAGCGGCTGAAAAATATGTTCAGGACTTCAAGAGGTACATAGAGGCTGAAAAATTCAAACCCCAACAATTGTTCAAGTGTGACAAAACAGGCCTCTTTAGGAAGAAAATGTCAAAGAAGACCTACATTACTCAGGAGGAAAAGGCACTGCCAGGACACAAACCTATGAAACACAGGCTAACTCTCATGTTATGTGGTAATGCTAGTGTGGATATCACTGGTGTATCACTCTGAAAATCCCAAAGTGTTCAAGAAAATGTGTCATCAAGAGTAAATTGTGTGTGATGTGGAAGGCAAACAGTAAGGCATGGGTCGTGAGGGACATTTTTCCTTGATTGGTTTAATGACGTGTTTGGCCCCAGTGTGAAGAAATACCTCCTGGAAAATAAATTGGAACTCAAGTGCCTCCTGTTAATAGACAGTGCTCCTGCTCATCCTCCAGACTTGGAAGAGCAAATGGCACAGGAGTTTCATATCATCAAAGTGAAGTTCTTGCCTCCTAATACCACTCCTCTTCTCCAGCCCATTGACCAGCAGGTCATTTCAAATTTCAAAAAAATGTACACCAAAGCAGTGTTTCAAAAGTGCTTTAAAGTGACCTCAGACACTGAATTGACCCTAAGAGAGTTCTGGAAAGATCACTTCAGTATCTTCCATTGCATAAACCTTATAGGTAAGGCTTGGGAGGGAGTAACTTCCAGGACTTTGAACTCTGCCTGGAGAAAATTGTGGCCAGAATGTGTACAAGAGAGGGATTTTGAAGGGTTTGGGGCTGACCCTGAGGAGCCTATGCCAGTTGTGGAAAGTATTGTGGCATTGGGGAATTCCATGGAGTTGGATGCGAGTTTCGAGGATGTGGAAGAGTTGATGGAGGACCACGATGAAGAGCTAACCACTACAGAGTTGCAAGAGCTTCATCTGCAACAGCAATAGACCACAACTCAGGAAATTGCTGTAGAGGAGGAGGAAGAGAGATGGAGGGAGGTGCCTCCTTCAAAGATTAAGGACATTTGTACAATGTGGACAAAGGTGCAAACATTTATGGATGAACGTCACCCTGACAAAGCTGTTGCAGGCTGTGTTGGCAACATTATGTACAATGACATTGTTGTGTCCCATTTTAGGGAAGTTTTAAAGAAACGCCAGATACAGACCTTTCCAGAACACTTTTTTGGGTGACGGGTCCAGTGACTCTCAAGCTGGTCCCAGTAGCATGAAAAAACAAAGAAGGGAAGTAACCCCGGAAAAGGACTTGGTGCCTGAAGTCTTTACAGAAAGGGATTCCCCTTCCTAACAGTAGTACACCTCTATCCTCTTCCCTCCTCCTGTCTCATCACCCATCAATAAGTCTTCAATAAAGGTAAGTGTCATATTAGTATTGTTTTATTCTGCATGTCTCATGTGCTGTTGAAGTGTGAGCAAAGTAACATTTATGAAGGGATTCAGGGAAACCGGCAGGCCGGACTCGAGTCCTGGAGATGGGAAGTACAGTGCCTGCACTCTGAAGGAGGGGTGTTAATGTTGCAGTTTAAAAACTGTAGTGTAAAGCACCCTTCTGGCAAGACAGTGATGGAGTGAATGATGGTGAAAGTTTTTCTTTTTCGGGCCACCCTGCCTTGGTGGGAATCGGCCAGTGTGATAATAATAAAAAAAAATTATTCTGCATGTCTCATTGTTTATGTGTAGGGAAATGTGTATTTCATGTAAAAAAAAATATTTTTTTTTTAATACTTTTGGGTGTTGGGAACAGATTAATTGGATTTCCATTGTTTCTCATGGGGAAAATTAATTTGGAATTTGTCAGATTCGGGTTTAGTCGCTCTCTCTGGAACGGATTAATTACTAAAACGGGGTCCACTGTATATAATTTTTGCTTTGATTGCTTGACAAATTAATAAGATCAAGAGAATATTTCTGTTGTGTCTGAATGAAAGTCTTTTTGAGTGTTGATCCTTTGTTTTTCAATATAAAGTACATAACATGTCTCTGATAAAATTAATTTTGTGTTTTCATATTGTTTGGCAGGTTTTTTCAAATTCCATTTGATGTTTCAGGTGTGAACTTCCTTTACAAAGAGAAAGAGTATCGCTGTGATTTGTGCCGTAGTCATTTGAGAAATCCAGAGCACGCAGAGTACCACTTCCGCTGCATTGATCACTACTACACCTTGTGTCGCAATCTCACTGAAGAAGAGGTGTGTGCTTCGTATAATGTACTCATCACTTGGCTACATTACAATATATTAATACAATAATATTTTATACCTCTCAAATAAACTCAAATGTTACTCAAATATTGAAGAAGACCTAACAGTTTCTTATACTAGTTAATCTTAAATGTTTTTGGTACTGCACATTCACTCTGTCATGACATGTAGTAACTTGGTAAACATTGACCATTCAGTTAGATGTATCCTTGTTTAGTGTGAGGTGTGAGTATACACTTTGTGTATGTCTTCTGCGAGAGGACTGGGGGGGAGCGGGCTGTCTCAGTTTGATGGCTCATTTGATTTGTGATGTCTGTACACTTCTGGCAAGACCGACTGTTAAATGAGTGAAGGTGAATGTGTTTCCTTTTTTTTTTTTTTTTCTTATGTGTGGGGGTGGCATCACCCTGCTTCAGAAGATGACTAATGTTTTGAAAAGAAGGTTCTTAATAGCTCTTATTCCTGTAATATTTCTTTTTCAGTGTAAGAGATCCAAGTCCAAGGTACTGGAGTGATGATCCCCAGAACAATTAGCAGATACATAACTTGTTCATGTTCAGCCTGTGAAATAAATTGGTAGTGTCATTACCTGGTAATACTTTACCATAGGGGGTAGGGGTGTGTAGAGCAAGTGTTTGCAGTGAAACATATAGGCAAATAATATTTAGATAAGGGTAAAGAGGTTTTTGTGGCATTTATGGATTTGGAAAAGGCGTATGATAGGGTGGATAGGGGGCAATGTGGCAGATGTTGCAAATGTATGGAATAGGTAGGCTATTTAAAGCAGTGAAGAGTCTTTATGAGAATAGTGAGGCTCAGATTTTTGTATGTAGGCAAGAGGTAGATTATTTCCCAGTAAAAGTAGGCCTTAGACAAGGATGTGTGATGTCACAATGGTTGTTCAATATATTTATAGATGTAGTTATAAGAGAAGTGAGTGCTTGGGTGTTGGCAGGAGGTGTGGAGTTAAAAGATAACGAATCTAACACAAAGTGGGAGTTGTCACAGTTGCTCTTTGCTGATGATACTGTGCTTTTTGGAGATTCTGAAGAGAAGTTGCAAAGGTTGATGGATGAATTTGGTAGGGTATGTGAAAGAAGGAAATTAAAAGTGAATATAGAAAAGAATAAGGTAATGAGGATAAAAAAATTAGGTAATGGAAGATTGGATATCAGATTGGAAGGAGAGAGTAGGAGGAGGTGAATGTATTCAAATACTTGGGAGTGGACATGTCAGTAGATGGGTCTATGAAAGATAAGGTAAATTATAGAATTGATGAGGGGAGAAAGGTGAGTGGTGCACTGAGTCTATGGAGACAAAGAACTTTATCTATGAAAGCAAAGTGGGCAGTGTATGAGAGTATAGTTATACCAATGGTCTTGTGTGGGTGTGAGACATGAGTTGTGAATGTTGCAACAAGGAGAATGCTGGAGGCAGTGGATATGTCATGTCTGAGGGCAATGTGTGGTGTGAATATAATGTAGAGAATCCATAGTTTGGAGATTAGGAGGAGGTGTGGGATTACCAAAATTATTGTCCAGAGGGCTGAGGAGGGGTTATTGAGATGGTTTGGACATGTAGAGAGGGTTGAATGAAATAGAATGACTTCTAGAGTGTATATATTTGTAGTGGAGGGAAGGCGGGTTAGGGGTCGGCCTAGGAAAGGGGCTTGGACTTCCAGCAAGCATGTGTGAGCATGTTACTTAGGAGCAAATGGAGACAAATGGTTTTTAGGACTTGATGTGCTGTTGGAGTGTAAGCAAGGTAACATGAAGGGATTCAGGGAAACCGGCACGCCGGACTTGATTCCTGGAGATGGGAAGTATAGTGCCTGCACTCTGAAGGAGGGGTGTTAATGTTCCAGTTTTATAACTAGTGTAAGCATGCCTCTGGTAAGACAGTAATGGAATGAATGATGATGAAAGTTTTTTTGTTTGTTCTTTTTCGGGCCACCCTGCCTTGGTGGGAAACGGCCGGTGTGTTAATAAAAAAAAAATACCATCAGTCAGGATGTCATATCAACCAGGCTGTAGGGCAGCAGGCCACTAGCAGTAACAGCCTGATTTACCAGGCAAATACCAGATGAGCCTGGCCCATTGCCAGGCTCATGGCTTTTGGAGTAGAAAAATTCTCATCAAAAGTACAGGCTCTCCTCACTTAGCGATGTACTTGCTTACCGATGACTCGGACTTACAACAAGCTGTCTGACCAGTATGAATACCTAAATAATGTATATTAGAGTTAACCCTTAAATGGTCCAAACAGATCGACGTTCAAATTCGTAGTGCTACAAAAGTAGATCTACTTTTTTTTACATATTTTCAAATGAAACAAAAAAAAAGTAGATAAAAGTTTTTTTTACACGTTTTCAAATGTAAAACAAAAAAGATGACATTTTTTTACATTCAGATGTTGAAAAAACGTATATATACGTTTGGACCATTTAAGGGTTAATTTCCTCTATTTTGTTTATTACAATATACAGTAAACTACTGTATAAACATTTAAAAATATACTAAAAATGTTATAAATGTTGGAAGGGTGACATTAAAGCAGTATCAAAGATGGTTGACATAAACCTACTGCCATTATAGTATGCTCCTCATTTAGTTACGAATTCGTTTACCGACTCGGTATTAAGAGCAGAACTCCGTCGTTAAGTGAGGAGAGGCTGTACTGTGAAACTTAAGATGATATTTTGGTCCATTCTGGTCCCTTATCAGTTCATGACTTGGTAGTGGCCCAGCATACAGTGAAATGTCATCTAAAGATTGATTTCAGTTTGTTGGTTAGTTGCTAATCTGCTTGCAGTAAACCTTTTGTTTAATGGACTTAAGAAATATAAAACATAACCTAATGGGTTAATCAATTTGGAAACAACGGACAAAGTCCATTAGTTACAGAATTGTCCATTATTATTACAATCACGATAAAACATCTCTATATCTATCACAAATTGTGATTACTAGCCAGCTCTTCCCCCATTTAGTCTGTTATATGAAGGGTTTGCTGCAAATCTTATTTCACAATATGTTATAGGTGTTTACCTAAACTTTCAAAGATTATTCATTAATACAACAAGCCAGAGTCACTATTTTTCTTTTCTAAGCTTTGGGTTCAATACAGGAAGTTCATGGAAAAAATTTTACAAATGTAAAGATGTGGTTTTTATATTGATAATGTGTTTTACTTGCAGGAAAAGAAAGAACTGGAAAGAAAGAAATTAGAAGAAGCTAACAAAGAGCAGGATGAATCAAAGAGTAAAGAAAACAACGGTGATGAAAATGACAACTGTGAGGATATGAATAACATGGAGACTGTGGATGAAGCTCTGGAAGATGCTGACATGGATACCCATGTGCAGGTCTCTGCTGATGGTGGTGCTGCTACTGAGGTTGGAAATGTTGCTGTATAGTTTGAGTTTTGTACAGGGTGCTACACAAGTTGCTTTACTGAGGAGAATCACTTTTATATTTATTTTGCTGCACTGACTTGGCAAACATTATGCTGGGTGTGCTAGTGAGTCTACTACTGTACTGTTTAGCAGAAATTGACCACGTTGGAGGACATTGAGAAATTTCTGTAGTAACTGGTAAACATTATTCCTTCTAAAGTGAATGTTGTTATTCTCAGAAAAGTAATTTATGCGACACTCAATAGCTGTTGCACTGAAGATTTAGAAAGACATATGGGAGGGTTGATAAAGGGAAGCACTGTGACAGGCATTACAGACCTGTATAATAGTTGCTTTGCTTTGTTACTAAATGTTGTAATAAGTTTTATAAGAGTGAGGCTATATAATATAGAACTGTTTTACATTAAAAGTAGGCCTTAGGGACATCTGATGTCACTGTGGTGGTTTAATATAAATGCAAGTATTTGGGAGAAGTTTGTATTTCAAAGTTTATGAAACTGATAAAAAGTCAGTTATCCAGTTATGAAAGTTGCACTTTGCTAAAGAGACGGTGCTTTTGGGAGATTCTGAAGAGAAGTTGCAGAACTTTGGAGTACAGGTTCGTCATCACAAATCCGGCATCATCGAGACCTGTAGTGTGCCGGATTATCGAGTTTGCTGGATTACAGAGTGGTTAGGTTAGAATACACTCAATAAAATTAACGAACTTGACTTACACAAAGTTCATTAAACATGGGCAAAAATTGGACATTTTTGCTACTTTGAGTTCAATTTGAAGGTACTTTTTGTCGTGAAATCAATCAAAATCATATCTATTTCTGTAATATTCTTCCATTCTTTCAAATGAGGCTACAAAAATGAAAATACAACCATAAAAACTATCCGAAAATGTACCGCAAAGAGGCGGCTAATGGCTGAGAAATGAACTCCCTTATATATTGTCCGTTTTTTTTTTTTTTTTTTTTTTTTGGTGTACATTAAGAAGCTTTTTTCCGTCATAAATTTCCCAAGTTTCAATAAGATAGCCCAACAAACAACTGAGAGAAAAAAGTATATACCAAAAATTATGTATGGAAAGCCCAAGCCAGGTACTGGAAATAAGCTACTTGTCTGACTGTTTTGGGTTACCGTAGGTTCTCTATACATACACTTCTATGTATGATATTCTATGTAACTGTATTTGTGTATACCTGAATAAACTTACCTATTTATTTACTTCTATTCTGTCGGCTGAGTACAAGAAACTGCTCATTCACCCATTTCAACTACCCAATAAAGTGGTTAGAAAATGGCAATTTGGCCAATTTCATACACATTTCAACAGATGCCAGTTTCAAAATAGAGTTCAGAATAAACAGTGCAGACATTCCTGGCACTAAAATAGCATTTTCTCTGTTCATTAATCATTGCTCCTCTTATATAACTCTTGCTTACCATTTGGAATTTTTATTCACACAAAAAATGGAAGATTTACTGTTTTGCAGGCTACTGCATTATTGTAATAATTGTTTAAATAATGTCAACTCATTCTTGACTGCGTATTGGAATTTGGACTGGTAGGTGCATGCGTATTAGACAGTGACATTATTTGTTTACTCTTGAAGATCGCTAATGAATGGAACATTTCTGCTACTTTGAGCTCAATTTCAAGGTACTTTTCGTCGTGAAAGCAATCAAAATCATATCTCTTTCTTCCATTCTATCAAATAAGACCAAAAAAACGAGAATACATCCATAAAAACCATACACAAATATACTGCTATGTGGCTACTAATGGCTGAGAAGTGAACTCTGTTATTTATTGTCTGATTTCCTTCATTTTTGGTATACATTAAGAAGCATCTTTCCATCATACATTGCCCAAGTTTCAGTAAGATAACCCAACAAACAACTGAGAGAAAAAAAAATAATAATTATAATAATAATAATATATTACAAGTATGTACATGTACATGGTATACAGGCCTAGATGACATCAGTGACATACTACTATATTGAAGAACATCAAAATGGTATACAATACCGACAGGTTGGTAGGTAAGACACATAGGCAACAGTTAGGCAACTTTATTCCGAAACGTTTCGCCTACACAGTAGACTTCTTCAGTCGAATACAGAAAGTAGGCAGGAAGAGTAGAGATGTGAAGACGATGTAATCAGTCCATCACCCTTGAAGTCGTAGAATTTGAGGTAGTCAGTCCCTCGGCCTGGAGAAGTTCAGTTCCATAGTCAGATAGTTCCTGACTATGGAACTGAACTTCTCCAGGCCGAGGGACTGACAACCTCAAATTCTACGACTTCAAGGGTGATGGACTGATTACATCATCTTCACATCTCTACTCTTCCTGCCTACTTTCTGTATTCGACTGAAGAAGCCTACTGTGTAGGCGAAACGTTTCGGAATAAAGTTGCCTAACTGTTGCCTATGTGTCTTACCTACCTACTACTATATTAGAAAGCCCCTTCTTATGCTAAGCATTTCAGGCAAATTAGGTCAGTGTCCCAGGATAACACCCACACCAGTCCACTAACACCCAGGTACCCGTTTATTGATGGGTGAACATAGACATCAAGTGTAAAGAAACACACCCAATGTTTCTACCCTGGCTGAGAATTGAATATTTACCAAAAATCATATATGGCTAGCCCAAGCTAGGTATTAGAAATAAGCCACTTTGTCTGACTTTTTTGGGTTAATCCTAGGTTCTCTACACATGCTGCTATGTGTGATAATCAGTGTAGAGAAAATGGCTTTTTTGTTTGTTTTATGGTGCAGTATGAGTGTATATCACAGTTAGCCCTGTGCTATACTCCGTTTTCACTAATATAAGTCCCCAAGACAGGGATAGGAGAATGGTACTTGTATCCCATATCCTCTTCATACCTCCGTCAAATTGCTCAGTATTATGCCAAATGTTATTTATTCTGGAGTGTTTAACATGTTTTTATGTTACTTATATTGTTTATTATGTCATATTAGATCAGTTGTGATAGGCAGATAAGCCGTAGTGTTGATATTAGCGTAATAATAAAGCACATTCCCCTGCATCATGAGACTGAGCTCATCGCGACCGACAGTGTCTTCAAAGCCACCTTATCCTTAACCCTTTGATTGTTTTGGCCGTATATGTACATCTTATGAGCCAGTGTTTCGGACGTATATTTTTTTTTTTTTCAACAAGTCGGCCGTCTCCCACCGAGACAGGGTGACCCAAAAAAGAAAGAAAATCCCCCAAAAAAGAAAATACTTTCATCATCATTCAAACATTATCACTGTTTTTGCAGAGGTGCTCAGAATACACAGTTTAGAAGCATACACATATAAAGATACACAACATATCCCTCCAAACTGCCAATATCCCAAACCCCTCCTTTAAAGTGCAGGCATTGTACTTCCCATTTCCAGGACTCAAGTCCAACTATATGAAAATAACCGGTTTCCCTGAATCCCTTCACTAAATATTACCCTGCTCACACTCCAACAGATCGTCAGGTCCCAAGTACCATTCGTCTCCATTCACTCCTATCTAACACGCTCACGCACGCTTGCTGGAAGTCCAAGCCCCTTGCCCACAAAACCTCCTTTACCCCCTCTCTCCAACCCTTTCGAGGACGACCCCTACCCCGCCTTCCTTCCCCTATAGATTTTTATGCTTTCCATATCATTCTACTTTGATCCATTCTCTCTAAATGACCAAACCACCTCAACAACCCCTCTTCTGCCCTCTGGCTAATACTTTTATTAACTCCACACCTTTTCCTAATTTCCACACTCCGAATTTTCTGCATAATATTTACACCACACATTGCCCTTAAACAGGACATCTCCACTGCCTCCAACCGCCTCCTCGCTGCTGCATTTACCACCCAAGCTTCACACCCATATAAGAGTGTTGGTACTACTATACTTTCATACATTCCCTTCTTTGCCTCCATAGATAACATTTTTTGACTCCACATATACCTCAACGCACCACTCGCCTTTTTCCCCTCATCAATTCTATGATTAACCTCATCCTTCATAAATCCATCCGCCGACACGTCAACTCCCAAGTATCTGAAAACATTCACTTCTTCCATACTCCTCCTCCCCAATTTGATATCCAATTTTTCTTTATCTAAATCATTTGATACCCTCATCACCTTACTCTTTTCTATGTTCACTTTCAACTTTCTACCTTTACACACATTCCCAAACTCATCTGCTAACCTTAGCAATTTTTCTTTAGAATCTCCGATAAGCACAGTATCATCAGCAAAAAGTAACTGCGTGAATTCCCATTTTGAATTTGATTCCCCAAAATTTAATCCCACCCCTCTCCCGAACACCCTAGCATTTACAACCCCATCTATAAATATATTAAACAACCATGGTGACATTACACATCCCTGTCTAAGACCTACTTTTACCGGGAAGAAGTCTCCCTCTCTTCTACGCACCCTAACCTGAGCCTCACTATCCTCATAAAAACTCTTTACAGCATTTAATAACTTACCACCTATTCCATATACTTGCAACATCTGCCACATTGCTCCTCTATCCACTCTATCATATGCCTTTTCTAAATCCATAAATGCAATAAAAACTTCCCTACCTTTATCTAAATACTGTTCACATATATGCTTCAATGTAAACACTTGATCTACACATCCCCTACCCACTCTGAAGCCTCCTTGCTCATCCGCAATCCTACATTCTGTCTTACCACTAATTCTTTCAATTATAACCCTACCGTACACTTTTCCTGGTATACTCAGTAAACTTATTCCTCTATAATTTTTACAGTCTCTTTTGTTCCCTTTCCCTTTATATAAAGGGACTATACATGCTCTCTGCCAATCCCTAGGTACCTTCCCCTCTTTCATACATTTATTAAATAAAAGTACCAACCACTCCAACACTATATGCCCCCCCCTGCTTTTAACATTTCTGTCATGATCCCATCAGTTCCAGCTGCTTTACCCCCTTTCATTCTACG